ATATATATATATATATATATATATATATATATATATATATTATATATATATATATATATTGTATATATATATATATATATATATAAACCAAACTGTTTGTAAATCCGTCAAGAATTCAATGAGATAAGAGTATTTGTGTTTGTGCTGATCACTCACCTTACATTAAGTACCACAGAGCACACCAGAAAGCCTGCCTGTGGTAAGATGGCCGCCCGGTGATGACGTTTGAGACTCCGCCGTAAGACATCTAGCCTTTATTATGGATATCTATGGTGTCCTGTACAGGGGCTGGGGCTGCAATGATAGCGGGAAGGGATTATTGTTAAAGTGAAACTAAATTCTAGCCTCTAGGGGCGCTATACCTGCAAACTCCCAAGTTTAACCCCTCTGAATATTGGCAGCACTGCACTGTTACTAATTAAAACAGTTTCCTTGGCTGTTCTGGAATCAGACTACTTTGCAGTAGATTAAGAAGTGATGGAGTTCCTGGTAAAGGCAAGCAAACATTCACCCCTCTAGATTAAATCCTAAATTCCATATATCTGATCAAAAAGTGTCATATGTTTTTTTTTTGCCCAACAACAACTTTTAGCTTGTTTAACTCTTTATTTAAGGGGACCTTAAACTGCAGTAAAGAGGCGCTGTGGATCACATGACTCATTCAGTGACAGAATCCAACCCTCTGAAGTTACATAGGTAAGATTTTTAACTGACCAGAAAAATCATTCAATATAATCTCAGATTAAGCTAATAGTTTGGTGAAAAGTAAGTTGTTTTAAGTTATTTTTTTCTCATAAAGAATGAATGCTCTTTTACTATGTGTACTAGCTGAAGTTAGTGGGCTTAGGGGCGGATTATACTTCTGCATCCGCACACTTAAAATGTTGCTTGGGTCTGGTCGTGAACCAGTTTTGCTGGTATGCTTCTGCACCGTCGGTCTGGAATTTCTAGGTACGCACAGCAGTTTCCTGCCAAAGCGCAAGGGGGAGCCTATTCGAGAACTTGCAACGCCTGAGGGAGTGTTTATTTTCCAAAACAACAATGGAGTGTCTGCAAGTTATCTCGGTCATGGAGATGGATCTAGAGTTGCTAGACATTGATGATATATTTATTTATATAATTTGTCTGAGGCATCGTAAAAGTGGTTGCACTCCCGAACCTCCTCGATTAACGTTTCGTCGTAGTTGTCCATTGTTCCTTGGGTTTTAAAAAAAGCCATGCCCCGGCACCAAATCGAGAAGGATGACCACACAGACAGCCGGAAAGGCATACCAAGGATCAATCACAGCTGCTTTTTGTCTGCGCACTTCCGCTTGAGGTCTGCGCAGGTTTGCAACCATCTGACACATAGTCAGGATTTTTTTTTAAGGTGCACGATGACAGTTGCAGAACCTCGGCACGGGGGGCGTGGTCACACACAGAGACAGATTTGACGGTTGCAGAGGCTATGCGTCGGAAGTAGGGGTGTGCAAAATAATCGTGATGATGATGCATCGTGATTCTAATTTTCGTGATCTACTGCATCGATTCTTGATGCCAAGAATCGATTATTAATTTAAAAAAAATGAATAAATAAAATTGCATGAATGGTTGGCGAACATCAGCCAAAAACAAGTGTAATATCACTTTCAGTCCAGTAGATGTCGCTGCAAATGTGTTGACGCACGCTGCCTTGTGTCACAAGCATTTCCGGCCGTGGGATACTGTGCCGAGTCATTCAAAAACAAAACATGGAGGAGAAAATATTGCAATGCATCGCAATAATTCAAGTATCGTGATGCATCGTGATAGAATTGCATCGTGGCCTGTGAATCGTGATTCAAATCGAATCGTGACTTCTTTGGCAATACCCACCCCTAGTCGGAAGCATAAATTGGCCTTAAGACTGCTGATTGTGTTCAGTCTTCCCACTCAGGTACAGTCATACCATTATTCCCTAACAATGCTCTGTAAAAGTCAGCTTTATCTACACAGAGATGACGTAGAGAAATGCTTTTACTAATCAGTTGAATTTCATAGTTTCACTCTTATTTAAGGGATACCAGAGCAACTAGGGTTGATTAAAATACAAGTTGGGCTTTCTTTAGTTGAGAAAAGTTTGATAAACTATGAGACATGAACTGCTGCTTTCTTATAAAAATCAAAACGAGTCTAAAAAAAAAAAAAGGAAGAGGTTTGTTTGTTTTCACCTCATTTCTGACAGCAAATGATTAGCTGTTATCAAGAATAACCTGACAGCTAAAGTGTACCGTGAAGATGTGATAGAACAGCGCCATGATTCAGTGTACATGTTCAGACAGTTTTATGTCACAGTCCAGTTCTGGTGAGCAGGATGACACACGTTTTTCACTGACTGTGTCTTTCATTGCAGCCATTCAGGTTCACAAAAATAAAATTAAGAAGTAATCTTTTCTCTATTTGACTGAGAAGACAAGCATGTCTCTATGGAGCTAAATTGGTCTCGATTTTCACAAATACTCGTGTGATTCATACATGGACAGGAAAAGCTCCTCACACACACAGCACGATTTACGCAAGCAAAATAAAATGGCTTCAGATTGGGCCAGTAGGTTCAGAAGGTTGTTATCGCTGAGTGAATCCTAATCCTAACCCTAAAGTCATTCTAGTCCCTCCGTGGAATTTATGAATCTATTTATGTGTAATCTGAAAAAAATTTCAGTAGTTCTACATGGGCTGTAAAAATAAATAAATATAAAAGGATCTGCATGTCGCTCATATTAAACAAACTAAAAACAAATAAATCTCATATCCTGTCAACTGGGTTTTAGAATCATCTCCCTCTAAACATTTTATTCTCTGTGAAAAAATGCGGATCATTCTTTAATAACATCTTCATCTAAAGAACACGCAATGTTTGTTTTTAAAACTAATGTTTGTAACAGATCTAGTGAATGATTTTTCTTTTTCCGTTGTTTTATGCACAAACTGCGGCAAAAACCTGACTAAATCACGAAATAAAACAGTGTGCTTGGATGTAAAGAGAGCAGAGTCAGAGGAGACTCTATGTAATGCGTATTGCTAAGAGTATGCTGCCCTGACGCGGTATGCTGAGCTGACAGAACATCAGACCGGGGCGCAGCAAATAGTTATCCCACAAAGAGTACTTTCTTGTGATTGGCTTATACAAGGGAGCTCTGTGATTGGTTGCAAATCATCCCCTGTATAAAAAAAACATTTTTGTATCGAGGGACGTAAGGATAGTCTAAAAAAAAATCACACACAAATCCAGCGAAGTTTAAAGACCACTGGTACTTTGTGTTTTTAATTTATAATTGTTTATGGACCAGAAATACTTTGGCGAAACATGTTCTGTTTAAGTGTGAATCTTGTATGCTTGCAGGAATGTGCTGTGTGTGTGAAGCTTTTCCTGTACATGTATAAATCACATATGCGTATTTGTGAAATTTGAAACCAATTTCGCTTCATATGTTTCTGCATCTTCCCCAGTTTTTCACACTGAGACTATGATGCTGCATTAAAGAAAATCATTTAATTTTAAAGATCTTTCTCAACAATGCCGATAAACAGCTGACAGTGGTTAAAGATTTCTGCACATGCTTGTTGCATCTCTCAGTTTCATTCTAATGAGAACAGAGTGGGCACAAACACTGGTGGTGAACAGAACAACATGCATATCTCTGGAGGAAACAATCAGGAGACTTATCTGTCGTACAATGCCAGTATCTATGCAACAGTTCTCTGTTTTCTCTCTCCAGCTCCTGCTGCCTCTGCTCTGTTTCTCTCCATTTTTGTCCATTGTCATTAAAAATGCCTCTCATTAATTTCTCCAATGGTTTTGTTCCCATAAGATAAATAAGATAAATCCCCCAAATAATTTAATTTCCTATCACTGTACTAAAAGGATTGTTATCCATTTTAACTGTGATTCTGCAGAGAAAACGTAGAATCAAGCCATTTATAGATTACTATAGTTGCTAAGATAAAATTTTGTTTGTTGTTTTCCTTTTTTTTTTTTTTTATTAATGTTGCATTATTTTATTGAAGTGCAATGATTGCAATAATACTGCTGGGGCCTTATTAGGCTCCACTGACTGATTAAATCATTCAAACATATCAGGCGAATGGGAGGGACCTTTGTTGATAAAATAAAATCATAAAAAAAGGATGGATTAATGCAGTGGTTCCTATTCTTTACTTACAAAAATATTATGCTCCTTGTTGCAACATGCGATGTGTTCTTACCTGGAGGTTCTGCAGGTTGTTCCTGATGTTTACAGTGCAAATCTGCAGCATTCTGAGGTAACTCTTCTCTGATTGGGCAAGCTCTTCTATAGCCATCATCTGTCTCTGAGCTTGCCTCTCCTTCGCTGCTGCCTCCTCCTCCTCCTTCTTCTTTTTGGCTTCCTCTGCCAGCCGCTCCTCTGACACAAAGCTCTCCTCTGAGAAACTGTCCTGTGAAGGTAGTCTTATCAGTATTTGATGCGCAGCTGCATCTACGACTTCCGAGGAATCAGTTGGTGGTTTTAGAAACACAGATTCCTCTACTGTCTCTTCCTCAGTGTCAAGTTTATTCTCTTCAAACTGATTGTCATTTTCTTCATTTCCATATTCCGGCAAATTTCCCCCCATTTGTTTTTTCTTGGAAACCTTCTTTATTGCTCCTGAATAGCGTAGAGGAGATGAAGCCGATTTACGGAGTTTGAAGTCGGAAGGCGGCGGTCTACTGGGCACCTCCATGGTGAAGATCACTGTCAAAGAAAAACACTTCTGTTTGGTTTTGATTAACTTAATATACATTTCACAAAGATAAAATCTGTAGAGCACCTTTACACCTTTCTGCGTACTGTTAGACCTAGGAAGAAAACATATTAGTATTTTTATAATTGGTTGATTCTTCAGTGCATCACCAGGCTTGCCTTGAGGAGAATGCAGTGCTGCTCCCTTCATTTGCTATCCACTGTTAATGTGTTTAGTTTTAGTTGTTGATAAATATATATATATTTTTTTTTGTTAAACTGAGACTTCATTTTTATCATGTAAATTAATTAAGAGAAACCAACTGTTTTTTTTAAAGATTGGACCAAAAAATCTAGCAGCACACATCAAGAATCATTCAGATTTATGTCAAAATATGAGGCAATGGCCTGAAAAAACCCAAACTGTATTAGTGGAGGTGTAATTATTTTCCTCATTAAACAGCACCCAAAAGAAAAGGTAAATAATAAGTAGGAGGGGAACATGAATGTCTACCATCATCCATAGCTGTGCAGTGTTTTATAGATGGACAGCTGAATAATAAAACATCCAAATGGTTAATTTGGCGCAATTAAATAAAAATGACAAACTTTGAACTAAGGCTGAAACAATTTATCAGATTAATCATGATTAATCGCTTAATAAAATAATCAGCAACTAATTTAGTAATCGATTAATCGTTAACTGGAGTGTAGAGACTGTAAAACATGCCTTTAGATGAGAGAAAAACCCATTTAGAGCAGTAATTCTATAAAAATTTTAAAATATAGAAACATTTTGCATCTAAAAAAAACAAAAAAAAACGTTTTTGTCCATCAAAAGGATAAATTAAAACTGCTTTTTTTAAAAGCCACCCACAGACCACTTAAAAGCATTTATCAGTTCATCCTTTGTCAAAATTACTTTATTTATTACTTATTTTTCATTTTGATTCTTAAAAAAAAAGCTCCTCTACTTATTTACAACAGCTGAGATGAGGGCCTGTGTCACCAGCCTGAGTAGGTGTTTATGCAGTGGTTGTATATAAGCAATAAACACAGTATATAGGGTTAGTACATATATTCTATCAATAAAATAATTAGACAACTTTTATTTCTTTTTGTATTTTCAACTTAAATTTCGTTTTGTACAGCTTTCACAACATTTCCATTCAAGCGGCCTACAGTCATATGAAAAAGTTTGGGCACCCCTATTAGTCTTAATTATTTTCATTTGAACGATGCACAGTGACACCGTCTGCAGCAAGATGATGCTGCAGGTCCTTGGAGGTGGTCTGGGTTGTTCTTCACCATTCTCACCATTCTTCTTCTCTGCCTCTCTGATATTTTTCTTGGCCTGCCAATGCTGGGCTTAACAAGAACTGTCCCTGTGGTCTTCCATTTCCTTACTATGTTCCTCACAGTGGAAACTGACAGTTTAAATCTCTGAGACAATTTTTTTTATCCTTCCCGTGAACGACTATGTTGCACAATCTTTGTTTTCAGATCATTTGAGAGTTGTTTTTAGGTGCCCATGATGAATCTTCAGCGGAGATTCAAACAGGAGAACAACTTGCAACTGGCCACCTTAAATACATTTCTCATGATTGGATACTTCTGGCTATGAAGTTCAAATCTTACCAAACCAATTTTCTGTTTCAGTAAGTCAGTGAAAAGTAGTCAAGGGTATTCAAATCAATAAAATGATTAGGGTACCCACATTTTTGCACCTGTCAAGTTTTGTTTTAATGCATGTTGCACATTTTCTGTTAGTCCAATAAATCTCAATTCAGTACTGAAATATTTCTGCGTCCATCAGTTATTATATATATATCAAACTGAAATAACAGTTGAAAACACCCAAATATTTAGAAGTAAAAATAATTAAGATTAATAGGGATACCAAAACCTCTTCATATGACTGTATTTTGTGTAATTTTGAAGAAGTGTATGAGGCCGCTGCCGACAGGCCCCCCCATGATGTTAGCCAAATAATGATCTAACGCTAACTTTTAACTATTTGGCTTTTTAGTTTATTTCTGTTGACAGGAATTGTCTTCCACACGTAGGCTTACACAGTCCTACTTGATATAGATCTTTTATAAGTGTTGAAATAGTCTAAAAAAACATATGCATAGTTTTCTTTATAATCTTTGATTATTTGTTCATACACAAAAATACTAACGTTTTTTTTCTAAGCACATAATAAACTGCTACCAAACAAATATTACAGCCAAATTACAGCAAGTCACATCAAATAGGCTGCGTTAATCTAGATCGCCATCAAACTGCTCAGGAGGAATTCAGCTGAATTCATTAAAAACTCCAATAATTAGTTTGGGCAGAGATAAATATTTTTAAATAACTGTGAGATGATGCATTAGCTCCTGTTGTTGCAGCATATTAAGGCTTTCCTGCTAAAACTGAATTAATTGAATAAAGAGGCAATGCAGATCAGAAGATGCCGATGAAACATTGTTTTATTTAACTGAACTTTAAAGCCACTGAATTTTTAAAGTGGTTGGGAATCGGCTGTTCCAACCGTTGCATTTCTGAATTCTCCCAAGTGGTGCACGACTTTATACAAGCGAATAAAGTGAATGTGATTGGTCATTTTTCAAGAGGGTGGGATTGTTGTGGCGGAAGGTTCGCAAGCAGGTTTGGTTATAGCCGGTGTCGGAAGCATCTTGCTAACCAGTTAACAACTTAGTGCTAGTAGGTTCCCAATGGGAAATTCC